TCGAGCGATATAGCAACGAGAAGGGGAGTTTCATGGATGTGGGTGTTACAAGAGTCATGTCCTTCCTCTGTTCTCCTTGTTTTTGTCCTTGTTCATTCCAATCAAAAGGTGAGTGTGTGACCATAATTGATCTGAGCATGTTAAACCCTTCTAATGTGTTATATGATTGATTTGGATGGCTGGAATTTTTTGCGTGTGGCTTGTTTGTGTGTTTTGGTTTCTTTGTTTGCATGATTGAGTGTTAGGGTTCTTGCTTTGGAGGTGGTGAATTCGCTCTCTAGAGAGTTGAGAGGAGATTTAAGAGCTTTTGCGGAGTTAGTGTCAGTCGACACCAATCTGGTGTCTGTGTCGGTCGACATCAATTGACACCAATTTCTGGACAGTTTTTCTGGATAGCAATGTGAGACCCCAGTTTGCGGAGAGGTTTAAATGAGCTGATTTGGCCACCTATGTTACCAAAGTGTACTTATCTTTTCGGTCAAGGGTTCTGAGAGAACTCCACAGTTAAGCGTGCTTATGCTGGAGTAGTCAAAGGATGCGTGACCTTATGGGAAGTGGTTGTCGGAACTGTGTGAGTGAGGCCAAAACACAGGGAAAGATCATGTGGTGATTTGTAGGGTCGGTAAACAAGTCATTAAGCCTCCCGGACGTAGCAAACCGACCGTCAGATATTGATGGGCTCATGGGCCTAGTGAGAGGACGTGAGACTCATTAAGAGAGGTGGGCTCATGGGCTGGTGGTGAACATGGAGCCCACTGGAGAGATGTCAGTCAGGGCGTTACAAGAAATTTATGGACAGCGAGTAGTTCGTGTCTTTTTATGGATGGTTTCTTTTATTTAGTTAATTTGATGCATGTTGGTTTGGTTTAATATGCTTGTGTGTATAGCCTAGTAGATAGGAGGATCGCTTTGCTGAGTATTTGTGATAATACTCACGCATCTCATTCTGTTTGTGGTGCATGTAAAGTGTGACGTTGAATGATGGCAATGAGAAGGAGGATGATTATGTTTAATTGTTGTTGGAACCTGGTGTAAAAGCATGCTAGGTTGCTGGTGTATATCTTAGGAATTGAATTGTTGGTTAATTAATATTATGATTCATTGAAGTTGGCTTAATATATTTGAAATCATTAAGAAAAAGCATTTCAAATTATAATGAAAAACATAGATTTGACCGTTTATTAGGCAGTATAGCATATGATTGTAAATATAAGATTTTTAGAAGCTAGTTAAGCGATATGAAAAGAGCAACAATTAGCTATACAAAGTTTTACTATTTGTAAATAGGGAATTCATAAGTTTTATAATTAAGTTAATGTACTTGATGACCATTTATTCGGGAAAACGACCTATTCACACATGAACTAAGTTGATTTATCGTTAACATGCACAAAAAATGATTTGTGCCTATTCCCCCATGAACTAAGATCAAATTTGAATTTCATACACCAAATTCACAAATCCGGTTAAAAACCACAAATCAAACAGTGTTACTGTGCCCGTCAATGGGTGCTGAGTCGGACGACACATAAACAGTAAAATGATTGTGTTTTGGCGATAAACCACACGACGAAACAATGAAACATAACGACGTCATTTTATGAATTGGGGATTCAATCGATTTAGTGTTCTTCTTCTTCTTTCCCAGAGAAAGAAGTCGCGATTGAGACAGAGAGATAGTGAGACGACAAGAAGAGAAATTGTTCTTTTAGAGAAGATAGATGCGAGTGTAAGGTATGTCTCTATATTTTTCTTTCGTAGTTATTCTTGATTGTAGATGATTATGTTATGTTATAACTGTAGTTTGATTGTGGCCAAAATGGGTTAGAGAGGAAGAGGAATTCCAAAGAAATGTAACTATGGAGAGAATGTATATTTGAAGAGATCAAAGACTGTTAAAAATCTAGGGAGACTTTTTTTAATGACCATATGGAAAAGAGGTATGATTCTATTGTTTTGTAGGTAAGATAGAAATTCTGAAATTGTAACTTATTGATGATATATGTTGCAGAATAATCGTAGTCACATGTTCAAGTGGACATAGGAGTCAATGGATGAAGAGATCGAAGATATGATTCCAAGAACTGATGATCTTGAAGGAGCTTCACTGAATTTACAAAAAGGTTAACAAGCTTACAAATCAGAGAGAGAAAGCCTTGCAATGGAGACTCGAACATGTAAAACTGTGGATTGCCGTTTAGAGAGAGAGAGCTAACGAGTTTTGAGAAAGAGATTCAAGCATGCAAGACGTAAATGCGTTGTTTGAAGAACATGATCGTGTGTGTAGTGGCGATGGTTCTTGTTTATGTTTTAATGTTGTAGTGTTGATCGTTTTTTGTTGTGTGTGTAGTGGCTCGTAACTTGTTGTGTTGTACATAAGGTTGAAGGAATGTATTGTGGTTTGTAACAATGAACCAATAAACCAAAAACCACAATATATAAAACTGAAACTGATACAAGACTCGGTGGTGAGCTTGTACTAGGATAGAGATGATGGCTTCACAAGTTGGCGGTCGCTTCTCTCTTGTGAAGGAAAGATGGTCAATGATGTAGATCTAACACGATGGCGGTCACTTCTCTCGTGTGGGATCGATTGGAGCGGAAGTGCTGGCGGATTGAAGTACACCACAGAGATGTAATTGGTCTCTGATACAGTACACAAACTCAGCCTTGGTGAATCACACACACAAGACAAAGAACAAGTTTATTTTCTTAAGAACACTTAAAGAGAAAAGTGAAGAAAATTCGGTTCTTTATTGATAATCAAGGGTAGAAAATTCGTATAACTGCAGTAGGGGAACTTTATAAGAGTCCTTAAGCTAGCCCTAAGGCCGAAATAAATGTAAAAAGTGCAACAAGGAAACAAATAAAATCACAAACACAAAACCATTGTTTTGGAAAGAAAATAAATCAAATACTAAAAAAAACTTAAAACCTCTTGTTGTGCACGTCTTCTAGCCGTTGCTGAGGCTTAATGGACCTACAAAGATCGAATATACTGAATAGAACTTACCTGGATGCGATCTAGGCCCAATCGATGTTCTCTGAACTACATCTTGTACTACCCGCTGATCTACTTCAGGGGTCTTGTCAGGTACTCGCTTGTTGGTTGGTTTCTTCAAGTACAGGGCTTCGTGGAGTTTTTCTTGGGTAGCTTGATCATTCTCTTGAAGCTCTTCGATGTCCTTGTTCTCTTGTTCTTGATCTCCAGTCTCTGGACCTGCCGAAGGATAATTCATACCTGGGAAATGGTACGTTCAAGACTCATTCAGGTGAATGTTCAGCAAGCTCTTCCTCGGGAATGGGATCATATCCGTTGTGATGGAGTAAAGGTGGTACAGACCAGTTTACGTCATTCAGCTCTAGTGAGCTCACAATGTCTTGTACAGCTAAGTTGAATCTCTTTCTAATTCTAAGATGTTTAGACTTTGAACGAGTCATGGGACCTTCTAAGACGACTGGTACAGGGTGTGGTACAGGATCTGGTTCAGCGGGTTGGACAGTAGAATCGATGTCCGCATCATAAACCAATAGTTAAAAATCTCAAACCATGAAACCATAAACAAATCTGATTCTGATTGTATCAATGCATTAAGAGAAGCCAAAAACCTCCACAAAACCTAAAAACCCCAATAAAATCTAATCCAAAACCTCCCTAAAACCTAAACCAACCTCCCAAAAAATCCACAATACAAAACCTCCACAAACCTCCAAATAATATCAACAAAAAACGAGTCTCCTAGTCAATGACTTGGCTTTGAGTTGGCTGACTTGATCCGATGCCCACACCCACATCCTCTGTTGTGGTCCTTTGAATCTTTTTTGGACATCTATAAACCACATGTCCACTTTTCTTGCAACCCCTAGTGTTATGGCCAGCTTCACCACATCTTCCACAACGATGATTCTCCTTTCTCTTCTTACTTTAAGTTCTTTTCCCTTGGTATTATTTTTCTTTGCTGACTCATTCCTCTGCTTTCTCTTCTTACATTATGAACTATGTCCTTAACCCAATCTATAATAACAATAATCTGGTTGTATCCCTTTTTAATATATAAATATAATTAGAAATAAGACATTAATTTTTTTCATCAATGTTTGAACTGGTCCTCATACTAAACATAATAATATTTAGTATGATTTATGCTATTTTAATTAAGATGTGTGTGAGAGTAAGAGATGAAAAATAATAGATTATACACAAAATTAGAAGGGGAAACTTTTTTACAGATTTATTGGTTAAATTATGATTTTTTCTTTTTCATTTAAGTTTTCAAAAAGATGAATGTTTCTTACGAGATTTAAACCAAGAACTAGAATATACGAGATTCTAAGATCACACTGGTAGTTTAACATTTGGACAGAATTTTCAATTGTGCTTATAAGAAACTCTTTGTATATGATACATGAAGTGGTCATTTCACAGTTAGTTATCATTATTGTTTTGTAGATATTATAGAATTGAGGCAAACATTAACTTTGATGGAATAGTCTAAAAGGCTTTGAATGTGCTATAGCACTTTACATGTCATTCATTTACATGTTCAGAAACAGACACAATCCAATAAGAGTCAACCTTTGAGAGTGTAGCACTTTCAATACTTTTTTGGACGGCTAAGATCTTATGAAAATAACATCTTTATTTTTCTCTCTGATCACACATGTCTCAAACTCTCAATTCTCTCATCATAATATGTACTCCATGAGATTGATTAGTAGGCAACTGTATGGTCGATTGATCGATGTTCTTATAAGTGAGAGATACTTGCAAAAGATAGGAATAAGGCAATGACGAGAAATCTCCTTAATTTTAGGCAACTTCGTAGAGCTTGTAAACACTTTCGGTTTGGTCTACAAGAACCGGTTTCTGGTTTGGTCTATTGATCAAAATTAGTCTCGGATTATCGTAACAACTGAAATTATGGATTTAAATTGCTTACACATATCACGACTGGATTGGGAAATGGGAAGGCGTATTAGGTGTTGAGTGTTGCATGGAAGATTTATTATACTAAAAGAACGTATATGTACATTTTTTTATGTGAATGAAAAGCTTAAATCTCACATAATATAAGAAATTATATATCGTCTTATGCATTTTCTTTTGCTTTATTTTTCGTTTCTTCTTCTTCTATTTGTACGTGGATGAAAGGTTACGAGGTATGAGAGTGGGAACTATTAGTAATGTGGTCTAATTAATCCCAACAAAAGCTAGTTAAAGGGAGAAGGGTTGCCACATCACATATATATTACCCAAGGATTCATCCCATCATTCGATGTGGGATATCTAATAGCCTCTCGAGATGTGGGTGGAAACGGTTCAACACGGAAACTGTCCAAACCCAACATCTCAGAAATACAACAAGCCATTTATCCGACATTTGCATCGTGTTCAACACTTTCCACTGTAAATCCAAAAAAAAAAGTAAATCAGCTAGGAGCAGAAGTGTCTGATATTAAAACATAGTAGAGAGGTTTTACTTACCCATCTTAGGTGGGAGGTAAACAAGAGTGCCAGACATAATCCTTCTTTGGTTAAATGTGTACACAGACCATCCAAAATCATACTAGTTCAGATCCAGAGGTAACGGTAAGGTCAATATCACTAGGACTCACAGTTGATGCGCTGAAGTAGTTTTGTAGCTCTTTATAAAGCTCACTTCTAGCTACATACTCTAAAATCAAGTCAGATTATGTGAATGGATACTGAATCCTGGTTAGCCATGTTTGGACCAAATAAAAAAAGCTTTTCTTAATTACCTGTGAAGTAGCTGTTGTTTCAAGAACCTTGAGTAAAGAGAGAGATTAGTTAGTTTCACTGTCTTAAAACAGACTTGCTTGAAAGCACTCTTTTTTGGCTATTCTAATACCACAAATCATACCACTAAATTAGCATACAAAAAAACTATAGCAAACATGTAGTGTTTGTTCCATATAAACTTTAAAATCTAGACATCAAAACACCAATAAACTAACTTACAGATTCCAGAAACTTCGAAAGTGCTTTCATAAGAATCAGGATAATCAAAACGGATTACCAAGAGTATATACCACGAGAATGCAAACTTAACGTAAGCAGTGTGAAATTACAAGATATGTGGGTTAAGTAGCAAAAGTGTAAAAATTACAACTTTGGGTTAGAACTCTTATAACTTTGTCAAGTTCTTTAAAAGTACCATCATCCCATGCCTAAATTATAATTTGATGATTTCCATGAACAATCGATATAATAATATTGTATCATCAAGAGATGTAATCTATGAGATACATACATATTCAATAATTTTATTAATTAATTTCCTTAAGATATACTTGGATTTACACTAGCTTTCATACTCGGGTTAGTCTTTCTTTCCATCATTTTTTGCTGAGGCATTATTGATCTTTTCCATCCACAATCTACCATGTGTCCACTTTTGATTTTTTATTTTTTACTATATTTGGCCATATTATATTTACTTTTGTTATATAATGTAATCATGTAGCAATAAATTTTCAGTTTATGAAACGAAATAAACGTTTTAATCTTTTAAAATTAGAATTCCATAGAACTTTCCAGATTAAATCATTTAAAAATGATTCCATAAATCAAATGAAAGTAGACATCAATTAATATATTGAAAATGATTTTTTAGAAAATAATACATTAGAAAGTCTATGTCCAATTACATATACTTTTTGACCATATTAAAAAAATAGAATTTTTATAGTGCAATCTAATCACAATAAAAACACATTTATGAAAATAAAATCACATTTTTGTCTATTAAAAATAAAGTTTAACAATGGCCTTTATGTGGTAACTTTCCACTTTTCATTACTTTATTTTTGCCATATAGCAAAATATTTACTTTGTATACCATGTAATCTAAACCAAATAAATAGACATTATGAAATAAATATTTTTTTTCTCTTTTTATAGAACAAAAAATCTACGATATTGTACATGATTTGACTTCAAATATAGATATTTCAATACTTGAGGATTGTTTTTTTTTTGTACTCAATTTATATTTAACAAAAATGTCCAAAAATTTACATACTATAATTTATAGTCATTCACAAGAAAAGACTCTTTCCCCAAAAATATAAAGTAAATTAAAAGACTCTTTCCCCAAAAATATAAAGTAAATTAAAAGACTCTTGGCCATAAAGACATATTATTAATTTCACCTATTAGTAAAACACCCCTATAAAAGGAATACTTCTCTATGTTTTAGGTAGAACCATACTTATAAAACAAAACAAAAGAAGGAAGAATCCATGGAGATGATTAAGGTTGAAACAATTGCTAAACAAATCATAAAACCATCTTCCAATACACCAAATGATAAAAAAACTCTCCAACTCTCTATTTATGACCATATCGTCCCTCCCGTTTATACAGTGGCCTTCCTCTTTTACACCAAAGATGAAGTGATTTCCCAAGACCATTGTTCCAACAAACTCAAGACTTCTCTGTCCGAAACCTTGACCAAATTCTACCCTCTTGCCGGTAGAATCAACGGCGTCACCATCGATTGTAACGACGAAGGAGCGATTTTTGTCGATGCTCGTGTTAATAACTGTCTTCTCTCTGATTTCCTAGGATCTCCGGATTTCAAAGCCATCCAACAGTTACTTCCTCCTGAAGTCATCGATAACCCTAATGAGGCTGCAAATACATGGCCTATCCTGCTCGTGAAGGCAACTTATTTTCCTTGTGGTGGCATGGCCATAGGAATTTGCATCAGCCACAAAATCGCAGACGCAGCCTCAGTCTCAACGTTCATTCGATCTTGGGCTGCTATGGCTCGAGGAGAGGGCGAATTCGTGGTTGATCCCGAGTTTGCAGCAGCAAAGTTTTATCCACCAGCCAATCCGTCCTTTCAGCTTCCAGTGGATGAAAATGCTAACAAGATAAGGAAAATAACAAAGAGATTCGTGTTTGGTGCGTCCAAGTTGGAAGAGCTTAGGGTCAAAGCTGCTAGTGAAGACACCGTAGCCAGACCTACTCGAGTGGAGAGTGTCACGGCGCTTCTCTGGAAAGCCTTCATTGCTGCCACTGCATCCTCAAACACAAATAACTCTGACACACAAATCTTGATACAGCCAGCTAACTTGCGCCCCAAGATACCTGCCCTTCTGCCAGAAAACCTAATCGGAAATGTTATTTTCTCTTCTGCAGTCTTGAGTGTTAGTGGAGGAGAGGATGTTAAAATTGAAGAGGCCGTTAAAGACTTGCGAAAAATGAAAGAGGAATTAGGAGTTGTAATCAAAGATGAGGATGGGTCGACATCTTTAATGATTGGTGCTAAACTAGCAAATCTGATGCTAAGTAATTATTCATTGCTTAGCTATGAGACTCACCAGCCTTACGCCGTGAGTAGTTGGTGCAAATTTCCTCTTTATGAGGCAAGTTTTGGATGGGGATCGCCGGTTTGGGTCGTCGGCAATGTGTCTCCGATCACGTTTGACAATGTAACTGTGTTGATTGATTCCAAGGACGGACAAGGAATTGAAGCGTTGGTCACATTACCAGAAGAGAACATGATGTCTTTCGAGCAGAACACAGAACTCCTTGCTTATGCTTATGTGAATCCAATTGTCTTGGTCTAATAATTATTGCTATTGTTATTTTATGTGTTTTAGTAATGATATAGTTAATAAGCTAATGAAAATAAAATAGGTATCTGTAACTAAGTGGTTTGTGCTCTTGAAATCTTCTTATAAATATATATAATTCAATTACAACACCCACTTAAAACATAGATGTTAGGTGTCTTGACAAATCTATATATATATAAAGTTAGCTTTTTCTCTCTTCTCATGATGCCACCTAAGCATCCACCTAACCACATTTTTGTTTAAACATTAAAATAAATTAAAACATTCATTTAGTGGATATTTATGTTACTTATTTAATTAATAAAAAGTTTATATAAATAAAAATAAATTATGTAAAAAAATGAAATGTTAAAATAAGAAAAACAATACTTTAATTTTTTTATTAGTGGTAATAATATAATTCAACTTTCATTTTAAATTGATCATAATTTAATATTTTAAATATGTTACTGAGTTTTAGAATGGAAGTAAAATTTAAATTTATGGTGGACTAAAACAACATTTAATAAAACAACATTTAACATATAAAATTATAAAGAGGAAAAATAATATGAAAGTGAAATATTAGTTTATAACATGATCAAAAAGAAAAAAAATGATATTTCATAAATTGAATCAAATGCTTTTAATCCAAATTTGAGTATTGAAAGATAATAATTAAAGAGAAAATAATTATAATATTTTTTGAAAATCAATTTAAAAAATAATAAAATATCACAATATGAATAAAAAATCAACGAAACAAAAATATAGACCTCCCGCGCGGAGCGCGGATCAACTGCTAGTAAATATATATAATTCAAAACAACAATGTATAGAAACTATTCCATTAGTTGACTTGAAAATAAATATATATAATTCAATAAGAACACGCACTTAAAACATAGATGTTAGTTGCCTTGACAAATAAATATATATAATTCTAAACAACAATGTATAGAAACTATTCAATTTTGAACTTCAGCACAAATTAGAATATGATTAACATGGACTACAAAGTTTTGTAACAATATATCCGAAAAAACAAATTTTATAAATAAAATTGTATTTCTCACAAAAACCGCGGGTTCAAACCTAGTGTTGTAATATATAAAAACTATGTTGCATGCATGAGGAACATCTCCCATATAATGTCCTATAATAAATTTCTTCCACAGGGGAAGAGCCTCCGTAACGAGCTCTTCTGGGAAGGAAACCCTTGCAACTCCATTAGTTACAACAAGATCGGATGGAAAGAGAGACGTCGGGGAGGGTCATCGCGAACAACCAATACCCAAGAGTCTTTCTACGAGGTCGACAAGCTGGGAGAACCGTTTACGGGCGACAAGGATCCCACTGTGAGTGGCGGATGCCCCATATCACCGACGGGATGGTTACCTTGGACTGGAAGCAGCGTTACGAGATCAGGGGAAACCTTCAGAGCGCCTCTCAATAGCGGCTTTAGAACAATATTTTTAGATTAACAAAATCTATTAATATAATTTTGCCAAAATCTAAAATAAATGATGATTTATGTTCATTTAGTTGTATCAAATTGATTTACTGTTTTCTACAATATCTTTAAAAAAAGTTAATTAATGATTCTTTGTGACTTTATTCATATATTTATCAGGAAATGGAGTGAATAGAAAAAGAAAAATTAGGTTGACATAGGTATATGTAATATATTTATTTGTTTTATTTAAGAATTTAAATCAAATTTCTTGTTCAATTGTTTTGAGAAATTTTGAAGATTTGATAATACGTTAACTGTGAAAAAAAAAATCATTGATATATACGGTAGTCATATATATCTATATAAACATTTTTCAGTATTATAGGAAAAAAACCTTAGAGTTTGAAGTTATTTACAAGGTTATGCCATTGACATTATTACTCTATTTAAATATATATATATATATATATAATCACATTTAACAAACCTCCTAAAATCTCTCCATAATAAATACAAAATATTTTTTTTTTCAATTTATTTCTCTCAAATATTTTTCCATTAACTTTATATGATCTTATATGTTTTTCATTTATTTTATTACATAATACATATGGATAATAAAAATACAAAACTTTTTCGCATATGTTGCAATTTGAATTTTTGAAAATAGATGTATGTTACAAATTATTTTTTACGTATGTTTAACGTCTCATATCAGGTTGACAATGTTTTTGACAATGTTTCATAACTTTTATAAATAACACCATATGTTTCCAAATACGAATGACATGAAGCTGAAATTTTTATGCGTCCAATTATACTAAATATTTAAACTTTCTAAAAAGTAGGAAGTATTATTAATATTATATAGTTTTAGATATTATAAATATTTTGGAACTTTAAATTTTTTTAATTGTTATTAACATTTTAACTCGAAATTGAAGTATTACCTATCTTGCTAAACATGAGTTTAATATTTTGACGATTATATGACATGACGGGCTATAATATGTTTCCAATGAATTATATGATAGACAGGACGAGTTTGAATTGATATTAATAAAAACAAATATCATTAATTTCATACTTCAATACGAGTAAAAATCTTTATTTTAGTATTTTTTTAACAACAACGATATAAGAACATGGATAATCAAAATGATTTAGTAAAAATTGATAATATATAATCTTCATAATTATAAAATGAACTCTAAAAAATCTCTAAATTTTTAAAAATATGAAATAAAATAAAAACGTTTTTCAAATATATAAATATTATATATGAAATACCAAAAATTAGAATTTTTAAATATTTAGTTATTTGTCGTTAAACTAAAATTTAAAAGTTCCAAGATGGTAAGTAATCAAAATCATAATCCGCACGAACTCCATCCACTGCCTTAGCCTCAGATTCAACTCTGGTTGCGTAAAGATATACTTCAGCCTTTGATGATCCTTCATAACCTGGACTTTCTTGCCTTAAAGATAAGATGTCCAAATCTTCAAGGCAAAAACCACTGCAGCCATCTCCAACTCATGGGTAGGATAGTTGCCCTCATGCTTTCTCAGTTGTCTCGAAGTATATGCATCCGTGTACACACTCCGGTGACCACACAAAATAAACATCCTTCCTCGTCAGCTTAATCATCGCTTGACCCATACTCGCAAAACCCTTAACGAACTTTCGGTGATAACCTGCTAACCCGAGAAAACTCCGGATCTCGGTAATATTCGTCGGCCTTGGCCAATCTCTGATGGCCTTAATCTTCTCAAGATCCACAGACACCCCCTCCTCTGAGATAATGTGACCAAGGAAACCAACATTCCGCTGCCAAAAACTGTTTTTTCTGAACTTAGCATACATCTTCTGCTCCCGTAGATCCTCCAATATCGCAAATGAACCACTTGTTCTTCAGATCTCTTCAAATACACCAAGATGTCGTCAATGAAGATGATTACGAACACGTCCAAATACTCCTCAAACACACTGTTTATCAACCTCATGAACGCTGTCGATGTATTTGTCAACCCAAATGACATCACCACAATCTCGTAGTGCCCATACAAACATCCGTTTTATCTATCAGGATTTGCTGATAACTCGACGCCAAGTCAATCTTGGAAAACCAAGTAGCCCCTCTCAATTGATCCAACAACTCATCAATCTGCGGCAAAGGGTACTTGTTCTTCATAGTGACCGGTTCAACCCTCGGTATTTGATACACAATCAAAAACTACTGTGCTTCTTCTTCACGTACAACATCGGTGCTCCCAAGGTGAAGTACTTGGCCGAATAAAACTCTTTTCCAGAAACTCCTCCAGCTGCCTCCTCAGCCTTGCCATCTATATTGGAGCCATGCGATAGGGTGTCCTTGGTTTAAATTCAATCATGAAAGGATCCGATCGAGACGGTGGCAATCCCTGCAACGACCCAAAATTGCTCATCCTCCACCGTTCCAACTGTCTCCGGGGTACTAATCGTCCCCAAGTAGGCCTCATGACGTTTTGCGATCAACTTCTTTGGCTACATGGTCGATATCACGAGATTACCAGAAGTCGGTCTCACACCATGGTAAACCAACTCTCCCTCTACTCTTTAGAATACAACGAGACCCCCCCCCCACGACAATCCAAGTGCACTCTGTACTTAACCAGCCAATCCATACTCAGGATGACATCGTACAGCTCCACCGCGCACACCAACAAGTCTATCGGTATAGAATAATCCATACTCCGGATGCCATCGTATAGCTCCACCGCGCAGGCCAATAAGTCTATCGGCAGAGACTCACCCTCCACCTGAATATCCACGTCTCTGACCCGACCATAGATAGTCAGAAGACCACGTCCAGCAACCCGAACAACCTCATGCTGCTCGATGACAAACAAGCAGAAATTCCCGTACTCTGCTATCTCCAGTGTTAGAAAGCTTTGTGACAATCCGGAGTCAAACAACACGTGATATAACACACCTCCCATGGCCAGGGTTCCTACACAAGCTCACAAGCTGGAAACTCTAGCAACCGTCCCTACTCCTCTTTGGACAACCCACCAATCTATGATACCTGCCACCACACCCGTAGCATCCCCGACCACTTTGGCTCTCCTTCAAAAGTGCTCTCTTCCATCTCTTTCTGTTCCAACGCAGGCTTACTGCCCTTGCTCGGAACCACGTGCTGATTCCTCTTTGGTTAGACCGTTGGACTAGCAACCACAATCTGATCCTTCAGGTTATTCTCGTTACCAGCTGCAATCTCGACCAACTCTACCCACGTTGTGTAAGTCCTAACCTTGCAACGCACACTCAAGTTTGGCTACAGAGACCGTTCAGTAACCTCTTCCCCTGAAACGCCTCTGCATCTCCCGCCCGACCCGCAGAAACTAGGAGCTTGCTTTACTCTGCATCATACCCTCGATTGATCGATCTTCCTAAGTTAGCGCCACGAACTGCGACCCATTCGATCCAGTGCCTCTCCCGGTAAATATTTGGCATTAAACTCGCGCAAGAAATCTCCCCAACCCATCTAACCCTTCTCCCTCCTGGCCGCTACACCCCTCCACCAAAGGTGAGCCTCAACCGCCAGGCACAGAACTGCCATATTCAACTGGTACGCCTACAGGCACCGCAAAGAACGAAAGAAGCCCTCCAGCTTCAATCTCAACTCAGCTACAGAGGGATCGATACCACCAAGAAAAGCACTCATCCCGTGTCTCTACAACTGCTCCAACATCCTTAGGTAGTACGGCTGCCAACCACCGCACCATAGCTCCAACCGCTGGCTGCACACCCCTTCTAATTGGCTGCACTCCCGCAAGCCTTGGTTGCACCCACCCGCAACCCCTAGTTGCAAACCTGAATCCGTGGTTGCACATCTGCAACCCCTGGTGGTCCCACTGGAGTCGCCACTGGCACAACACCCAGTAACCGCCTCAGCGATTGCGTCAACAAGTTCGCTTGACGATCATCTCGATCCTGGGCTACACCTGTTGGACCAACAAGGTTCCCAGCCACACTCGCTGGAACACCCCCAACCGGGATCCCAGCCAAACCATCACCATCTTTGACCAAATCTGGTCCTACGGCACACTAGCCTCGCCCAGCAGCCCCTCCTATTGCGCCTGCGACACGCTGACAACATTTTTCATGGTACTGTGGCCTATGCTCTCTTTGCTCCTCGAGGCAGCAACCTGACCTCCCCTGCAAACGCGGCTGAGACCCCGACCACGACCCTGGCACCAACAACTCTAGCCATCTATACTAACACAATAGAGACTAAAACACAAGGAAAAACTAATTTTACCAAACAAACACTTACCGTGGAATCTCCTTGAAGGCTCAAAATGGATGATCTAGACCCCGTGCTGAATTAATTGACTAACTATCCATAATCAATTAATTAACATACACAACCAGCTAGACATGCTTAATAAATTGACTAACTATTCATAAACAATTAATTGCATGCACAGCACACATGATCTAACAATCCTCAACAATCAACACAGAATTCAATTTAACTCGCATAAATCAAATTCTAACAACCTAGGGTATCACATTCACCCCTTCTAAAAGAACGCAACGTGTGTACCAAGACCGTAACCCCCAACCGTTGTTGTCCCGCAAACAACTAGGTTAGGCTCTATTACCAATTGAAACGACCCAGCCCATTTTCCAACCTTTTAATTCATCAATATTAACCCCATAAATTAATATTGAACCGACAAATTAAACCATTATGGAAACTATCAGCGGAAACCAATATCTAAACAGATAATCCAATAAGTCCAATCAATAACTAATGAATTATCAAAGATCCAAAAAACCATAAATGATAACTAGACCTAGCATGCGCTTAAATCCAAGGTTCCAAAACAGATAATTAAATATAACAAAACAACCAGTGACTCTAGGTCATCGCCCTCTTTCCTCCCTGATTCCACGATCACACTTTATCTTTACCTGCATCACAAAAACAGTGAGATGCATGAGTATTATCACAAATACTCAGTGAAGCGGTTCTCCCATCTACGGGGTTATACACACATGCATAATAGACTAATAAACATGTATAAGATCAATCAGAACAACTAATCCAGGCATAAAAAGACACCGACTACTCGCTGTCCAGAAATTGGTGGCCAAAAAACTATCCAGAAATTGGTGTCGACTTATGAATTAAAGTATTGGGCAGTAGGGTATTTTTAGAGAATCAATAAATAACGAATAAAAGCAATAAGGAATTCAAACATGAAGAACCGTTCTTGAACATGAACAGAAATTTAGTTTAATTATATCTCAAGACCACTAGAATTCAACTATTCAATTACTAAACTCTCATTTGTAATTTCCTAGCCGAATTCGCATTATCTAACAAGTTTATTTGGTTCACAAGGCATTCTAACATCAACTCTCGCAGGTTAGAAATAAAATGCTCAATTTACATTCATGCAGGCATTTTATCGAACATCTCTAAAACAAGGTGATCATTCCTATTCTAGCATTGAGAACATGTAAATTGAAGAACACAAAGATTAAGAATTCTCTAAGACATCTAATCCATCAAATCATTGAATCTCCTACTTAGAACCCTAAAACCCAATTTATAAACTACTCACACATATTGTAGAGAATAACACAAAAGTATATGAAAGAAAACATGATTGAATAGATTAAAACAAAAATAGGGTTTAGAAATCTTCTCCAAATTGTCAAAGAGGATGAATCTTCTCCCCCAAAATTGTTTTGAAAGCAAAGAACAATGTTTAGAACTGAAAAATATGATGGATAGCTGCTAATAAGTCGAGCCTAGGGTATAAAAACAATAGGAGACGAGTCGGTCGGTTCTGGAATGTTTTGGGTCAAATATATGTCAAAAACTGCGTATGGGAAGTAGACCGGTCGATCCAGGTGGGGGACCAATCGGTCTGCCACGTTCTGGAACTTTTTTCGCGTCCAGAGACCGATCGGTCCGACCCTATCTGTTTCCAGTCGCTTCATTTGCTTCAGTTACTCGCCAGAATGACATGTCTTCACAAAATTGGGTGTAACTATTTAATGCACCGTTAGATTTCCTCGAAATCACTTGCAGATGAAAGATAACATCTGGCTCCATTGTGTGTCAAAATATGAGAAAGATCTAACGGGGGAAATTGACCATCTGATGTCAAACATTGGACACTTCTATATGAATCTACATCTACAAATGTGTGTTTGCATCCCAAAGCGGCTCATTTTATTCCAAAGCAACCTAAAACCTGTAAACACTCTATAATTGACTAAAAGACTCTAAAAACACTTTGACTCAATAAAAGTTATAAAATGAAAGAGATAAGAAAACTTAAAACCGATCAAAACAACAATATATCACTGCCCTTGAGTCTTATGTCGAGAATAGGGATTTCGCTAAACCAATTTTGATTAAACTAGCAATTTAATATTAAACCGCTCAAACTGTAGTTTGTTTGTGCCGATCGACACCCAACACTGTGTCGATCGACACTAACAAAATTTCAGACACGGGTGTTACAAAAATTTTGTGAAATAGAGAAAGCGTGAGATAGGCTTGAAAGTGAGATTTCAGCAATTACAAAATCTCCACTTTCATTCTCCAATCATCGTGTTTCATTCTTCAAAACAAACGCATTAATTAGAGAATCAATGTATTTATAAATGTTTTTCTCAACATATGTATGAGCATAATATGCGGTATTGTATTTTGTAAAGACAAGATTATGTTTCGAGAATAAAAACACTACACAAATTTCTTGTACAAATTCCTATCTTTCTTACTGTATTTCTTTTAACAAACTCTTTTTCAGAAGTGTGGGATTTCGCTCTCACGATCATTTTATACAGTTGTATGTCAACGTCAGCTATATTTGTAGTAACAATCTCATCTTCTTTATAATATTTATATATAATTATATATAGAATAAGTTATATATATATATATATATATATATATATATATATATATATATATATTATAGTTTAGAGTAATGACTGTAAGAATTAAAGTTGTGTATAGATCGATGTATATGAACATTTTTTGAACTATACATATACATTTGTACACTTGATTAACCGTGCGAAAGTGAAAATGTGTATGTAATATATTTGAAGTCATTTTAAAAGAATGCATTTCAAATTATAGAGGAAAACATAGATTTTAATTTTTCTGAATTCTTTTTTAAAAATAATTACAGTAGTAAAAGTTTTAGTTATTAGATTCGAAGGAAGTGTAAAATAAAAAATAAAAAAAATAGATAAAGAAAAAATGAGATGGAGCTCAAAGATAGACACAATAGCATATCATTGTATATATCAGATTTTTAGAATATAGTTAAGGGATGTGAAAAGAGAAACTATTAGGAGTGTAAACTTCTAAACAAGGAATGTATAAGGTTTATAATTAAGTTAGAAATGTACTAAATTGCCATTTATTCCTAATTTTTAATTCAAAGTGAAAACTACTTGCCCCCATTATATCATTCACACTGTCCTTAGTCTATTAAAAATTAAAATTAATTTATCTCAAGATTTAAAATGATATGGCTATTTATGTAGTATTAATTTATATTTGACATCATATACTTAAAACTTAAAACCACATATTAAAAAAATATTATAAAATTTAATTGCCAATTATTTAACCTTTTTTATTTCATAAAGATTTGTAAATCCTAGCTTGCTTACATCATTTATTCAATCATATATAAACTGGAAAGATAAACCGTTTTTTATATAGTAATAATACAAATTACTTCATTTATTGAATAGAAATCACAACCTAATTACTTACTATTTCTTCTTAGAAGCTCTTTTGTATACATATCACAACAACAATGACTATATATACCATTATTTTACTATAGGATTACAAACCAACGACCTTAAACAAAATATAACCACCCTAATTAGGCACTTCAATGTCTTTTGAGATCTGAACATCACATCCACGAGGAAACATAAGCATATAGCTTCGAGTTACTGTGATCTCTGCCTTCATTGACCACCTAAAAGGAAAAAACAGATGCATCTAATGATGCTAATGACTGTAACTACTAAAGAAATAATGTAGATTGAACCATAACTCATTAAGTGATAAGAGCATACTTATGTGTACACAAATGGTGGATAAAAATAGCCATCAGCATCTTAGCAAAGTAAGCTCCTACACAGAGTCGAGGACCAGCTCCAAAAGGAATGTAATTCTTGGAGACTATCGCGTCCACATATTTCCCCTGTTAATAAAGTTTGATCAATGTAAACAGAAATGTCCTTTGATTAGCCGATCGAGTCGGGAGCAAATAAGAATTTTGAATCACCTTCCAACGCCATGGATTAAATACGAAAGGATCCTCGTACTTTTCTGGATTGAAATGGACACTAGGATAGCCCATAGAGTTCTAACCCGCGGGAATTATATACTCGCCGACTTGGATGTCATGGTCAGGTTTTCTAAGTATTACAGGCACAGTGGTTGAGATCCTAAGAGACTCATTGATCACCTGAAATGAAATGTACAATATATGATAAGTTTCTTGGGATTGGATTAATTTAAAACATATCAACAATAGATAAAATACTAGATATTCTATATAACATGCAATATACATGTTATATATACTTGATTTAGGTACATATAATAACATACTTACCATATTGGTGAAAGTCATGGATTTATAGTCTTCCCATGTTAGGCCGGCTTGCTTGGTAGACTTACCTCCAACAATTCTTGCATGCTCTCTTTGAAGCTCTAGCATGACTTCAGGATTTTCGCTTATGAGTTTCACTGTAGTCGCAAGAATCCGCGGTGTTGTTTCATTAGCAATGACAAAGAAGGTATATATGTACTCAATCACATGATCCATGCTTATCATTTCCTTTTCCCCAAATATGATCTCAAAGAACTCTTCTAACTCTTCTCCTGATGCTCTCTTCTTCAACACTTCCTCCTTTAGTAACTTCTTCATCCTTTTTCTTGCCTGCCATAAAACATCACTATTGTAGGCTCCATTTTTTTGCCCCTAAGCATAGTACTAGTAAGATTATTTACCTTCATCATATTATAGAAACCTATCCCAGGAAGTTGTTATCTTCTCCAAATAGTCTTGCTACACTCTTCGTGATACCGGGAATACGATTTGTCTTCGCCATCTCCATATTCAATTCATTATCCACTGAGATTATAACTTTGCCTCCAAATAAGCTTGTTCGAAACAATGGTCCATGTCTATATTTATATTTAACCAAAAAATGACAAAGTAACTTAAGTAAGTTAGTCTTAATTAATGAAAACATTTCTAAATTTGCACACTACAAAAAGAAAAATTAGCAAAAGAACCTGAGGATTCTCTTCTTGAGGAATGTTGAATACTGAAGAGCATCATGAGGCTTCATGAACTCAATAGTTTCTCCAATGATTGGAAAACCCATTGACCCTGGTGGTAGTTTTCCATTACACTTTGGATTACTCCAATGGTAGATAAAATGGCATAGCATCACCACTATGAATGAAGCTATCACAATCCATAGCTTAGAAACCTCCTCCATCTTAATTTACTTCTACTCTTTTGGATATGTTTGTTTTATGTTTTGCATGAATATATGAGTGAGGAACTCTCTATTTATATTTTGCAATGGTGTACGTTACAAAGGTTTTTTTTTTTTTTTGGGTTTTCAGTGTTGACATATCGCTAAGAATTAAATTATTTGTGATCATACACTTCTAGATTCTTTTTGCTCCTTTCGGGAATGTGACAGTAACCTTTGTTACATAGTCATCTACCTCATTCCCATTTTCAAAAGTTTCGTCATAGAGAAAAGTTAAATAGAGTACGTTCTCTCAAAGGGCCATTGGTTAGATCAGGAAAGACAAAATCCTAAACTTTAATTTAGTTGTTAAAACAAAATCCAGACAAAATAAATAGGATTCTTTATTGGTTTTTTGGATTAAAAGAACAACTCGAAGCATATAGGAGAGTTTTATTTTTGAATTTCTACAATATTAATTTTAACAAATGTGCTTTAAAATTTATTTCATTTTAATATTCATTTAAATCATGTTTACTTATGTTTATTGTTAATTTTAATGAAAAAAAATGTCAGTGTTAAATTCTAATTTTGTATATAATAAAAGATAGATTCTTTATGGAGAATGTTCAAAGTCAACTATTTATCTACTTCAGTTGACATTTAAAGTATGTAGTATAAATGCTTTTTACATTATTTACTCAATAGAAACATTAATAAAATGCAAATATGTATATTGTAGTATTCAAACATTAATAAAATGCAAACATTAATATGATGTTTGTAGCTTACTTTATTACAACTAAAAAACAAGAACATAGTGCTTCTTACAATATAATTTGTACACCTAGCACAAATAATCAGATTTGTTATATATATTATGATATTCAAACCAACGACCATATATGGTATACAACCATTTCTAATATCCAGCAGAATCATGTAACTAGGTGTTTTCTGAAAATATTACATCACATCCATAAGGAAACATAATATAACTTCGAGTTACTATGATCTCTGCCTTCATTGATCACCTATAAATTACATTTAGTACTTAGATATAAGGACAATGATTGTAGTAAAAAAAAAACTGATACAAATATAAATAAAACCTATATCTAAGCAAATGGTGGATAATAAATGCAATCAGCTAAGAAAAGTAAGCCCCAACACAGAGTCTTGAACCAGCGCCAAAGGGAACATAAAATTTTAGATATAATCGCCTCCAAGTCTTTCCCCTGTTAATAAAGTTTAATACATGTAGAGTAGGAATCTGGACAATTGTTCCTTTGTCTCACTGTTCACTTTCTCTCTCGAGAAAAAAGTTTCAGATCTACTTTTTCTTTTTATTTTCGTTTTGCCCTGTTCTTCATGTAGGTCCTGAGCCTTCAAAGGAGTAGCGAAATCAAGAGTGAGACTTCTTTCTCTTCCGTCAGCTAAGCGGTGGGTTTCTAACAAGCGATGCGACAGCGACGCATCCACGGTGGCTGGGATTCTTTGCCTCTATATCATCGGTTTGAAGACGCCGTGATGGTTAAAGACTCCCTTGGCTCCTCTGTCGTGGGTGTTTGTTGTGGTCGTGGCGGAAGTTGCTTGTTGGAAGGAGGGTAAGTTAGCTGTCCCTTTGGTAATTAGCGGTGGATCTCTTGATCTTCACCGGCTGTCGTGGATCTCGGTTTTGGAGGGGGACTGAGCCTTTAACCCTCCTTAATCTCCTCGATTAGCTTTTTAATCAAACCGGTTTGTGTTTGTTTGTCTCGGGTGGTGGTTGTTATTAACTCTAGGAAGGTGACTGAGGGTTAGGCTTGTTTCGTTGAGTTGCTAGGTAGGGGACTCTTCGTTCACGAAAACCAGCTAGTCGGAAGTTGGGTGTTCCTGGGAGGTGTGTTGCAGAGTTGCGGTTCGCTTGAGTTGACCCGGAGACGGACCCGTATACTCTGTTTCCATGAGTATTTCTTGGGCGGTCAGGCATCAAAGCAGTCCGCCTCGTATACGCCGGATATGGATACCGGAGCTTCTGCGGCGGGTCGATCAGTGCAAGCAAGATCTTGGCGGCCAGATTAGGGCGAACGCTCTCTTTTCCTGTTTGATTTCGGTAATCCAAAGATGCCTAAGAAACCAAATTTCATGCTCATTTGTAATTGGAAACATATTAGTCATATTTATAATGGTTTTGAACTCTTGTATAAACATTTTCCCTTTATCAATTGAGTTATATACGTCCGTTTTCCAAATTTTAAATTTCAAAATGTGTGAAAAAAAATTTGTATTTTTATTATAAATATTTTTTATGTAATAATATAAATGGAAAATAAATAAGATTATATAAATATATTGGAGAGAGATTCAAATTATTAGAGAGATATTTTGGGAAATTTTTTTGATGTAATAAATATTTATTTCCAATTTTGAGATTTGCTTGTGATTTAATTACAAAATTTACTTTAAGTTTTGTTATTTATTCAAATGGCAAAGGTTTGATTATGCAAATATTACAAAATAAAAGATTATAACCTATATTAGATTTTAGTACAAAATGTACTTCAAAAATGTTAAGATAGATGATTAGTAGAATGGATCAACGACCTATTTCTCTCTAAAAGATATCGCATCTTATCAGAACTACACAAAACTTTGATCTCGCCTCTAACTATCCGAACTGATAGTCCTATTCATATTTCCCTCCGAATTGATAGTTCTAGTCATGTTTCCCGGATATCATAGTTATCTATCTAATTTTCCAAAAAACTAGGTTTATACGGTTATAAATTGGTTTACTATTTTGATTAACCAAACAACAAATCCGATTACCGGATTAAACCTTATTCAACCCGATTAGAAAACTAAACTAACCCGATTAGAATTCTAAACCGTCTAAAGCAATTAGCCACTCTGAGATCTTCCTCGTCACGATCTTTCACTATAATCAATTAAGAGTTACACTTGTGTTTACAAAGGTGATTACACTCACCCTCGAATTAACCCCAATCCAATAAAACATGAACAAGGAAGAAGAAGAAATGGAGAAGAGATACCAAACAACCCATAGTTCTCTCACTAGCTCTCTGTTTCAATCTCTCTCTCTCTAGACTCACTCACAGAGATTTGAATCTTCTCGTCTTGTGATTCCACATAGCAAATATATAAATAAATATCAAATTTAAATTGACCTTCCAACGCCATGGATTAAACACTAAAGGGTCCTCGTATGTGTTTGGATCGAAATTGATACGGAACCTTAAATAGTGGCCTTATGAAGTTATGCTTCCATAACAATAAAAGCTAGAATCTAATTTGCTATAACATAAGAATCTATAATCTCCACGGCTAATCACTAGCTATAACATAAGCTAAGCTATAATATAAGAATCCATCATTAGTAGAATAAACGTCATCCAATTTACCTCTGAGATGATATTACAAAAATATATAGTTCCATATAATTATGTTCTTAAAAATCACTAAACTGTTTGCAAAATTGTTCATAAAACAGTAAGAAAGAAAATATCTTCTAATACACAACCTAATAACCCAAGAAGTGAGCTTCCTAGTTAGATCTACCTGCCACTTACTCCTTGTCTATATAAGCTATTCCCATCTTCATTCAAAATCAAGTTATGTTTTCGATGACTCGGAGCTTATCTTTCGCTTCCCTCAAGCTCTTCTTGATCTTCAAGCTGGCCTTCTTCTTTGTTGTTAGCTTCAGAATTTACAGTCTCATTGTTATTATTACTGTTCCCTCCACTTTCTTTGTGACCGAAGAACAATCCCGAAGAAGACGAGTCCTCTTCATCAAGATCCTCTTCTTTCTCTGCGTTCTTGTAATTATCTTTTGATCTTTGGCTTACAACGCCATCCATCCATTGCGGACAATGGTGTGTTACCCCAAGATTTGCTTCAATCAGTGAGGCGTTTGAAACTGGATTTGTCCGCGTAATGCAAGAACATTCAGGTACAGGATGCGAAAGAAAACTAAAGGCTTTTGATCTTTTCGAAGACTCGATTAGACCCTCGAGTATGCTTCTCTTGAGAAGCTTCCTAACTGATGTTATCCAAGTGTGATTTGCCTCGTACATATGGTCTCTGATCTCTTCCAATAGCATTGCAATTTGTTTCCTACAAGTATGAGAAAATATCAACATTACTATTTTGCAAAGAACAAATATCTTCAGAACAGGATGATATATTCATTACGTTACCTGTCTGGTCTAAAAGTCTTAGCAGAAGCAGACTGATAAAGCCGGTGACCCATCACCAAACTAGCAAAACTCGGATGTCCTTTCCCATCGCGGTCAAATCCCGAGATAAACACATCTGCTTCCACGCTAACGACATAATCAATAGCTTCCCATAACAACTTGTGAGCATTAGTTCTCAACTCAATAACCGTGCTTTCGGGCTCATTGTCACTCTCAGCTACCCAACCCCACCACCCTTCAATGTTGTAGTACTTTGGTCTAGCCGGTGGAGGCGGGAGCGGTTGAGGCCTTTGTCTTGTACTCTTTAGCGAATCATGTTTTGTTTCTTCCTCGACCGAAGGTGGTGTCATTGTCTTAATATCTTTATGTTTCGCCTCACGCCCATACATCTTAGCAAGCTCCCAGCTAGTACTAAGAGAAGTTCGATCAATGACATTCTCAAACATGCCATGTAAGGGAATTAGTGTTCTTTGCCCACCAAAAACTTCTCCACCAGCAACATATATAATTGTGTCCCATGAGTATCCATAAGCTCGTAGAAGAATACCAACCTGAGAGTGAATCCAAGGCATTTAATTTCTGAATTAAAAAATCTGTTAATGTTTAACATTGTTGCTTACTTCTTCTGGCATCAGAGGGCATAAGCCCGCTAATCGTTGCTCGGCTGAGTCTATAGAGAGCTTCCCTTTGACAATCCCACGTTTTATCATCCAAGCACGTTTATGTTGTATCAGCTCGGTATGAACATCCTTTGAGTAGCTCCAAAATGTAATAACACATCAATCATCATAAACTATGAAACAGTTTCTTTCCCAAACTGGACAATACTATAAACTTTAAAG